TGGTCAGGCACTGGAATGGGCTGCCCAGGGAGGTGGTGGAGTCACTGACCCTGGAGATGTTCAAGGAACGTCTGGATTTTGTGTTGAGGGATATGGTTTAGTGAGTACTATTGGTGATAGGTGGATGGTTGGACTGGATGATCTTGTAGGTCTTTTCCAACCTTGGTGTTTCTGTGATTCTATGGCAATGCTTTTCATTAACCGAAAACCATCCTGAGTTGTCTTTAAGTTAATGCAGTCTGCTGTAATGTAAAAGCACACACACAGCAAGAGTTACTGTGGAGCTGCTGACCCGACACTGTGCAATGAATGTTGCTGTTCGCTCACTCTCACAATAAGACCAGTATTACAGTAATGAGGCATGAGGCTCTCAAGAAGACAGGAACTTAATTTCTCATCCCCACCTTCCGCTTCTGTTTCTTTCCCTGGCCACTGTGCTTCCTGTAGCACAGTCTTCCCCCTCTGAAGCAATTCCTCAGTCCCCCTTTGTTCATTTCTCTCCCAAACTACCAACATTTAAAAAGCTGACAGCTTTAGATTTTAGCAGTCCAACAAGACTGCAAACAGCTAAAAAAGGAGAGGAATTCATATTAAGTAGCTTTTTTTGCTTCCACTTCTATTTACAAAGCTTTGAAATAAAGAAACACACCAAGTTTTCTCAATGCATTCACCATGGGCTAAAAGATCAGAATCCACCCAAGCTGTGAAGCTTGGGACATCCTTATTCCAAGCCATTCAACAAAATACATGATTTACACATATTTTTAAAAAGAAATTCTGCTGCTTCTTGGACTGATGCCTGAAACGAGGACATCTTCAAGGCACCCTTGTTCTTATGCCATACAATGTAAAGAAAAAAAAATCCACAAAAAAAAACCCCATAATATATACTTTCTAAAGCCACAACAATCAGAGCAGTAATATAGATCTTAAAAAAATTGATTCATGCATGTTTCAATATAATGTCCTAATGCAAATATGTTTTCTACAATACACAGCCCTTTTTCCTCTCTGCATACAACAGGTTCATAATATTAGGATGTCCAAGTAAATTTTAACATGATCCTAGTTTCTCCTAGATAAGAAGAGACTAAGCAAAATTTGTAAGCAGCCTCACATTATGAGTCTCAAGAAATGAGGAAGAGAAAACCTCATTCTTCCATGGAACATTGCCCAAGTGCTTTGGGCAGGCCTCTTATTGTCATCTTCCTAGTTTTCAAAGGCACGCTCAATATTTACAGATTTATTTTTCTGAAAAGAATTTTGCAGAAGTTAACTCAGGATGAAATTTGGACTTGTACACAGCAGGAACAGCAACGAGAAATAAAAGACTTGTTACTTTAACAGCACCACATTATAACGTTGACTAGGGATCCCTCCCTTGATTAGGAGGAATTTGTGCCCAACATGCAAATTATAAATAAAATAATCAGCAGTGCTAGTTTTCTTTGCAGGCAAAACAATCGATTTCAATGAAGTAAAACTGGTTAAAGGATTTTTAAAAACTGACTTATTTTAGCTAAAGCCACACAAGCAGCTGAAAGAACTAAAGAAGTTGAAATCTCTGGCACAAACAGTTTATGCAACAGAAGCCTTTTAGAGTAGAGTTTCAGTCAACCAGGAAAAGGTAATGCAAGAACTGCTGAAAAAAAAGGGGGAAGTAGTCTAGGGTTTCTTATTCCTATCCACTTCACGCTTATCATTCCGTCTCCTCCCCCACGCTAAACAGGGATTAAATGTATGCTGCACATATCAGTGATGAAAGTCCTCTGTGGGCTGATGGAAGGAATAAGCAATTTAAGAAAGAAAATAAGAACTGCATAAAAACAATAAAAAGATGCCAATCAGTAAATTGCCTACTGTTTAATATCGCTGCATTACAGATGTATCCTGCAGGTTTTTTATAACTTATGTCTCGTACAAACTGGGTGAACCTCCAATTTCAACCTAAAATTCAGACATACTCCTCTCAGCTCACCCTTTTCAAACCCAGTAAGCAAAGATACAAATCTTGAGAGCGCAGAGAGGTCTTTATGGCTTTTTGAGAGGGGCTATAAAGCACATTTAGATCCCACATTTAGCTGACTGGTAAGACGTATCAGCAGGCAGATCTGAGCTGTTTCACAAGGATGAATCTGTGACAGAGCACAGCATGAGAACTGCTGTGCTGCTTTTGATACAATTTTTAGGATTAGCAAATACTGGATGCCAACCTCTTATCCTCAGTAAGAATAGGCTAATCTCACCTGAGATTTCTTTTTGTGAATGTGAATATCTCCTCCATCGGAGCGGGTGCACACAGCACATGTCACCACATAATCCAGCTAAAACAAAGACACCAGATAGAGAAATGAAGTTTTAAAGTCAGAAAAATAAAATGTACATAGCAGAACACATTCCATCTACATCTCCTTCAGCTCTCCAGCTAAGTAGTAAAATCTTCTGGTATTGCTATTCTCTTTATCATCCTGAAACCCCTACAGTTTTCTTGATAATAAAAAACCATGAATTTGTGAGCTAACTCGGCAATACTGAAAAACCTTCTATGGAGATGCTTGCTAGAGTGCACAACCTATGGGTAAAGAAACATCTGTCAGTATTATTTAACACTAAGCCAACTGGTCAAGGGGAGAATGAGCATGACACAGAACACATTACAGTAGAAATGGAAAATATTTCCTCCTTTCAAAAAGGGAATAATGAAAACAATAATCAACACAAGCAAAAAACAAAAAAGATCAAAATGCATTAATGCAGCCTGCCAAACAACCCAAAAATACTTAAAAGGTCCATGTGTAACAGCTCTGGACAGCAGTGTTCAGTTGTAGCAGCATCTCCAAATTCTGACTATAGTGTTAAAACAGATTCTGTTTTAAATCAACACTAAATACATACAGAAAACACTCTTTGCAAGGAACTTCTGCAATTTGAGTTCCGGGAGGAAGGGGAGAAAGAGGGGGAGAGAATAAAAAATTTATTCTCCAGAATGTGTGCAATGAGCCAGCAGCCTCATTTTAAAACCATAACCAACAAAACTTTTCAGAGATCTGGAAAGACTCCAATAGCATTCACCTTCTCAAAGCAACAACATAACACACAGTAGATGAACAACACAAAATAATTAAAAAAAAATAGGATGTGCTAGTTCCATCTTTCCACTAACAGAAAGAAAAGGCTTATTAAAGCTCTGATATATACAGCAGAAAAATCCCATTGTGTTTTCATTTAGCAGTCTCCTCTCTTGGCCATACTGCAAACTAACAAAATCACTGCTGGTCAAATGGTTATTCACACTCAAAAACTATTATACTTAAAGTCTTCCATTTTGCGGAGCTTTCAGATAATATTCAGCTCAGCTTTACTGGATATATTTAAAGATATTGAAGAAAGCTCTTAAGACTCTACTGGAAAATAACAATTATTCCTGGTTTTGTTTATTCAGACTCTAACAAAAGCAAAAAAACATGTTTTGTTTCCGTTTTCCAGAAATGTTCAAATCCTCCCAATGGTAGAGAGGGAAGTGGACAGAGTAAAGCTTTCCCTTAAACCTCCCCACCATGAACAACATGTGAAAATTAAGTAAGCATCACTGTTACCTTCTGTAGAATGAGGTTCAAGTAGACACTCTCTTCCCAGTCGATGTCAGGATCTCCCAGCCCAGGAAGCTTCTTGGAATCTCTTCGATAAACTTCAACTTCAACCTGCTAAGAAAATAACAAATCTCTTTGAAAAATACTATCCAAAGGTGCCAAATGCATATTTAATATTGACTCCAGAAACTACACGTTGCCAGTAATGATTCCTGACATGTTTTTGTGAGGATCATATTTTGTTGACCAAGACCTTTCATGGAAGCAAAGCTTCATTTATTCCTTACGTGTGGGTATATTTTAGCAAAAGTGAAATAAAGATTGCTACCCATACCCTGACATGCATTTCTCTTAATATAATCCCTTGGAATACAAACATATCAGATGAATGCACACATTTGTTCATCTGATAGCTGTCTGGAGAAAAATATCATGCAGCAGGAACTGGAACTCAAAGCCATCATATCAGCAATGAGAAACCTTCATCCCAAGAAGCCTACAAATGCTCTGTGAAAAATCCCATGAAGGCAGAATATCATTAGGGATAAAAAGAAAACACAACAAATCTGCATGTCACTGTGGAGGCAAAAGGAAAGAATTGAGCTTGTTCCCAAGTGCAGTGGGAGACTCTAGGACTAAGTTCACAAATCAATCCCTCACAAAGCACATTTTGGTAACCCTTCTTCTTACACGTTTCACACTGACAGTACTAGGTGGACCAGTACTTACATATGACATTTTCATGTACTGAAAAAAGAAGAAAATACAAAAAGCCTAAGAAATCCCAGAAAATAGAAACAACTCTGCAAATGCTATCGAACTGAAGCAGCTGAAATAACAAAAAACCTGACTTGATGTAGTGCACATGGTTAAACAGAAGTCCAATGTTTCACAAAAAAAATCTATAGAATAGCTTTATCTCTGAAATGGTACATAAAACATAGACACAGATAGCATACTTTGATATTAAAGCTATGTACCATCTTGATATACTTGGAAAAGTATTTGCTCCTCTTTGAGAAAATGTTTTAGTTAACATTAATGTTTCCTAAACATCTGTTGAGATCCTTAGAATACAGTGACTAGTTAACACAGTTACAAACAGGGTAATTCCTGAACCTGTTTTGGATAGCCCAAAGAAAAGAGGTAGAGCTAGCTTATTAGATAACAGATTATCATAAAACACTGACTACATGAACAAAATCAAACTGAGTAGCATTAAGCCCCATAGTAAATGCATTTTTATTTCAAGTCTTCCAAGAAGGCCAAAGCTACAAGACTGAAAAATAACAAAGATGAACAAAATACTGCATCATGCAGATACCATGAAAGCTGAATGCATTATTTTGTTACTAATTTTTTTCCTTACAAATATCTTCTAAAAATACAAGACTCCTTTGGCTTTTATTTCCAAAGCTCCTATGATTTTTTTCATTAGTAACATAACAGCACAGATCAGGTTACTGTGAACACATGAGACCAAGCTGTGAGCAGCTGAGGGCAATAATCTCATAAAAATTCATCTCCAAATAAACTAAGGTGATATTTGCACTTTTGTGCCTAACAGCAAGGAACTGTCATAGTAACAAAATGCCAGAAATAACTTGTGAGACAAAGTTGAGCTGTCTAGAAAGGAAGGAGGATTGGATGAAGGCAGGCGTAACTGAGCACAACTCAACAATTAAAGGGTGAAAGTCCAGGTACAGCTAACAACAGGTCAGGTGACAAAGCACACAGCAGACACCTCAGGCCATTCTACCTCCATGTCCACAAAACCTTTATTTTAACCCAGGCAGAATCATCTCTTCATGATGAAGTCCAAATCTTCCTCTACACAAGCTGATCACTAATGGTCTCTACTCATAGAATTAATTCACACGCTGGTAGGGAGAAGTAGATCAGAGACATCTGACTACTGCTTTCTCACATAACACCACTCCCATCCTGTGATGGATAATGACAGGCAATGGCCTATTATCAGCTGTGACTTCTTTTTTTCCCCAAGCTAGGAAGATGACTTTTCCCCACTCATTTAGCATCTGACTCCCAAGCAGCAAGCTTCTGGGTCAGGGCACTGCAGCTCACAGCAAATCCCTTCCAAAGGTGCTAAACACCTGAGCTTCACTGTAGTGCAATGGAAAACTTATTTAGGTAAGATGAATCAAATATATATTTTTTTTTTTGCCAGAGAATAAACCACATGGGTCACAGACAAGTGACACCACCTTGGACACGAGCAGTCCCTTCCACAGCTCACAAATTAACTTCAGCTCCCCTCTTTCACCACAATGCCAGAAGGTAACAGCAGCCACTTGATTCAAGCCTGTTGATTTGTTTTCCATAACATCAATTTGTATGATGCAATCCCAATGCTACTAGCACATTAGAGGGATGACTGGAGCTGAACCCACTTGCAGCAATTTGTTCAGCATCAGTTACTATGAAAGGAGACAATCAAAATAAATAAATAAATCACTTTAAGAAAAGCAAAAAAAACCCAAAAAACTTGAAACGTGAATTCTCAGTGTTTCATACACATTACTAGCTACTATTTAAAATCAGCCATCTAAATTCCTTGACAGGTTGATCTGATTTGTTCCTAAAAAATTCACTCAAGCATTCCTATACTCGTCTTCCTGGTACTACACAGCAGCAGCATACATGCCAAGCACATAAAATAAAAGCCAGAAGTACCCAAACTGTCCCATTTTTCTGTAAGGTGCAAAAGAGTTCCAGTTAGTCACTTCTACAGTATTTGAGGTAGCATATCTCTCAATTAGCACTACTGATTTAATGAGAAAATATGAAAACTAGAGGGTAAGTACTAATCTTTTGTATTTAGGCGAACTATTTTAAGTGACTGTAGTGCTGCTAGAAGACACGTGGGATTGAAAGTATGGTAAACAGAAGATCAACAAGTTCGCTGCTCTGACCTTTAAGTGTTCAAACAAATAGGAGAGGGATCAAAATCCCAAGAGCTTCCCAGTAATAGAAGGCATTACTGTAGTTTAGGTACATTGGTGCTGCCAGTGCTGAGCACAGCGTTCTACGACTGAAGAGAAACACTTGCCTTACAGAAGCATTCCCTTAGATTCACACAGAAGTTGCATGGCAAATGTGAACCTTTGTGCTGTTGTTTGGTTTAATATACATATTTATGTATGTGTAAATGTATGTATGATATACACAGTGTACATAAAAATCTATGGGGGTGTGTGCACATGCACCAAATTTCTCAGGATCTCATAGTTCTCAGTGAACAGTTCTGTGATTTTCTGGCCTTAATTTACATTGCCACCTTCAGCTTTCCAGAGGAAATGATACAGAGTGGAGAACATGCTGGCTTTCAGGGATGAGTCCTCTCAAGAAAGCATCTCTAACTCAGCCTGGGATCCAGGTGACACTGAATCTTCTTCCAGGAAGAAGACCGAGCTGCTGATTCACTTGGCTAGCTTTACATTAGGAGTGCCTCGCTTGCACATGCAGCAAGGCACTCCTAATAGTAGAAAGAACTGCATAAATACTAATGGCCTACTCCCAGCAATCCTACTAATGGCCTACTCCCAGCAATCCTAAAGCCAATCTGAATTTCCTCATTCAAGTCAAAATGCAAATACACCCTTTTACATTCGGAGCAAGCTGAAAACCATTATGCCATCTATATAAAGTTGTCAGCTAGTGAGTTAAGGCTAGAAAGAAGAATTACATAAGCTAGGATGACCACCTATGCATCACAAACATTTCACCCTGTTACTTCTTTATAATACCCAGTCAATCATATTTGACTAGGCAGCACCCAGGGAAATACCATGCTTTTAGAATGACTTCTTGGCTAAAAGCATGCAACTTCATTTAATTCAGTTACAATCCTTTATCCATCCTCTGGTTCTTATCATGCCCATTTCTACTACATTAGGAAGCTCTTTAATACTCACTATATGTATATAAATTATTTGCATGAAAAAATGTACATGCTTTAAATTTGTCATTCATCAGCCTTTCATATACAACTGAGCAGAATTCCTTTAGGAGGTCTCTATGCCTCTCACAGTTGGACAACTGCAAATTGTCTTTTTTTTTCCCCACTCTCTCAGTATTTCACCATTACTGGTGTTTACTGGCACAGCACTGGTACTCACACTCCTACTACCCCACTGTTCACACACATCAGGCCTGCGCTTTGTCTGCACAGCAGCTCCACGATCTCATGCTAAATTACTTATGCTTCAAGACTTGTGCATTCTTCTCAGGGCCTGCATGCACTCCTGGCACTGAAGTACTGACCTACATCAGTAACAAAGAGTTCCACACTTTTCAGGGAGCATATTGTGCAGTGACAGTCTTGCCCTCACTAATACATGCACCACCAATCTGTGTCATCTACAAATCTGCATCTGCTCTGATGCTGCCATCCCAGTCAGCGATCTCTGTTGAGCTTCTTCATCAGTATCTCCATTTGGTGTCTGTTCCCCGACTTTACTGACTTCATTTTGCCAGGAGTCTCCCATTACCCCATTTCTTTGTCAATCCTGGCAAATTCTTGCACATCTCTCGCACACTAGCCAAGCCATGGTCCATCTCTAGGATTTCTTTTAACTGAAGACTTTTTCAACATCAAAACTCAGTAGCAATCCTCAGGACATATCAGGAACACTGAGTCTGTACAAACTAGGGTATGAAGATCATAGAAGATGGCATAGTTTTTCAGTTTTCAGAGGACGCGTGATCAGGAAGCGAACACTGCCTTTCTTGCTTCCTTGCTTTCACCCTCTCCCAGACTTCATAAATCCTGTCTTCCATTTAGTTCATTCTTGCAGTCAGTCCCAGCCTTTCCAAATTTCAATCTTCAAAGTTCAGATCATTTGTGGTGATGGAAAAAAAATTACTTTGGATTACTTGTTACAGCTACACTAAATCTTTTTAAAGTGGAACTCTTCAGAAAATGAAGCTCCAAAGAGAGCCTAGAATGTAATTTTCAAAAGAATATAATTTGATTAAATTTGAGTTTGTTTTGCTGGATTTTTTTTTAGCAGACCTGTGAAAGGTACATCTTTGCATTAGATTGCTTTCTTGCCAGGTGTCACAACTTTAAAGTAACAGGGGGATGGGCTGAT